TTTATGATGTGCTTCTTTAATTTAGCATACTATAAAAAATCCTTCATTTTATGAAAAGACCCTCTTGATTCGATAGAAAACTCTGGTTTTTAATAAAATGGCTGTTTATCAATTAATCTTTAGTAAATCTATAAGATAAATCAACTTCAGACAACTTCACATTAATCGATAACTTGCATCCCTAATTTATACAGGAATTAAGTTGATTTATATCTTATTTAAATAATTACGTGTTTTAATGATTTGGCAGATTAATCAAAAAAATAATCAACAGATTAATCTATTATCAAAATAATCGTTAGTTGCAACCCTACAGGAAACGGATGATATGAAGCTGCTGCATAGAGTTTCTGGGATCAGCTGACCTGCATCCAGAACGTGATTTCCATACCGGTGGGTCGAAGTCATATACAGGTCCCAAAGAAAACCAATAAAGAAGTGGAGAAGCTAAACAACACAGTTAAATCTCTTAAAACAAAACCATTTTTGAAGCAAACACAGCAGGATAAACTTAAAGTATAAGGACGTTGAGAGTAGCAGACAGCTTTTTGTCACGGGGGATCTTAAGAGGGCAGCGCCAAGCTCGAGGAGCTAGATGCATGTCTGCCTGCCTTCCGTAACGTGAAGCCTGACTACAGTTGGAAAAAGAGCGCACAAGACACTTCAATTTGTCCTAAAATACAGACATTCTGACAAATAAGTAACTGTTTGTTAACTTACCTCAGCTTAGAAGCAGTGGGTGTCAGTCTTTTCCGCTTTTCGGTGTATCAATATTTTCTTACACCCCTACTCTACACCCTCAGCAGGTTCCTGGAGGGAATTTGCCCAACCAGACAACATGTGTTTGGGGGACATGAGGAAGGAGTTTGACCGTGTGTGTCCCTTGGGGAGTCCTGTGGGGGGTACTCTGGGAATATGGCGTACCAAGCCCTTTAGGTCCCTTGTACGTCCGGTGCCAGAGTTTGGTCCGCATTGCCGGTAGTAAGTTGGACTCGTTTCCAGTGAGAGTTGGACTCCAACCAAAGCTACTAGTTTGTCACTGATTCTGTTCATAACTTTTATGGACAGAATTTCTAGGTGCAGCCAAGGTGTCGAGGGGATCCATTTTGGTGACCTTAGGATCGCATCTCGGCTTTTGCGGATGATGTGGTCCTGTTGGCTTCATCAGATCATGATTTCTAGCTCTCACTGGAGTGGTTCACAGCTGAGTGTGAAGCGGCTGGGGTGAGGATCGGTGCCTCCAAATCCGAGACCATGGTCTTGAGCTGGAAAAGGGTAGAGTGTCTCCTTCGCGTCAGGGAAGAAGTTCTGTCCCAAGTTGAGGAGTTTAAGTAGCTTGGGGTCTTGTTCATGAACGAGGGAAGAATGGAGCAGGAGATCGACAGGTGGGTTGGGTGCTGCCGTACCGATGATGAAGCGAGAGTTGAGCCAAAAGGCGATGCTCTCGGTTTACTGGTCGATCCTACCCTCATCTATGGTCACGAGCTTTGGGTAGTGACCGAAAGAACAAGAATGCGGAGAAAAGCGGCTGAAATGAGTTTCCTCTGCAGGGTTTCTAGACTCCCTTATGCTACATTCACACCAAAAGCGTTTTGAGCATCAAAAACTCACCCAACACCTCAAGTTGGACGCGCTACGTTCAGACCAGGACACAGACTAGACGTGCGTCTGAAGAGGGAGGAGCATCTTGGTTTTTTTTCCGGTCTGTCTAATGGTGGATGAAATAAAGAAAATGGCTTTGCTTTATTTACTAAGAGCAAGCGAACGTTGCGCTCACCAGATAATTTAGAGGCGGTCTGTTCCGTGAGTTTCGCAACTCCAGGAGCTGCAAGCTGATGGACTATTTTTGTCCTGAGCTCAGTTTAACACCGCGTTCAGTTTAATGAGCCACTGACCCACATCGGTGCTGATATCTCCAGCCAGAACACCAACGTACAGAAGATCGATTTCAGATAAAGAGCTCCTGTCCGTCTGTTTCAGGTAGGTGGGCAACATTCAGGAAACCATCACGTGGAAAAAATGCCCTCTGCTTGGTTGACGTGGTGCGTCGAGCAGCAAAAGTTCAGATTTTTGAATTTGAGCATCAGCTGCTTCGGACACGCCGCATGCACGTCAACGCTTAAACCACACCTACCGCTTCATTGCGCACCGTGCTAAACGCTCTAGATGCGCCGCGAGACCACCATAGAGTTTGCATGTAAACCGGATGCTCCTGAAGCTCAAAACGTGTTCAGTGTGAACGTAGCATGAGAGATAGGGTGATTGGTCATCCGGGAGGGACTCGGAGTAGAGCCGCTGCTCCTCCACGTCTAGAAGAGCCAGTTGAGGTGTTTCCTGGACGCCTTGCTGGTGAGGTGTTCCAGGCACGTCCCACTGGGAGGAGACCCAGAGGAAGACCCAGGACACGCTGGAGGGACTGTTTCTCAGCTGGCCTGGGAACGCCTTGGGATTCCCCCAGAGGAGCTGGCCCAAGTGACTGGGGGGAGGGGTTTCTCTGCTTAGGCTGGGGCGGCTGTGGTGTGGTGGTAGAGCAGCCAGCTTGGGACCCAAAAGTCACAGGTTCACTTTTTACAAATGTTTTTATTTTGTGCTTTAACTTTATTAAATCAAGGTGGGAAGGGGAGGAAAAAAAACAAATTAAAAAACTCAGATTAACTTATGCCAAAAACTAGTGTGCTGCTGATCTGTTGGGTTCCAGAGCATGTTTATGCTAATGTAGACATAATCAGACACAGTTATACTGGCACAGCTGAGGTGCTGCTTGTCTTGGCAGAGGGGTTCTTATAGTGACAAATTGCCATTAAAACCACTGAACTCTTGCTGTAATATTGGTTTGTGTACATGGCTGGTTAAACTGTGAAAAATGGTCCTAAATCCTTAGGTGAACTCCTTGATCTAATACCAAAATTAGAAAAAGACTACATTTACTCTTATAAATTACTTGGGTAAGTTTGTCCATACAGATACTTAAGAAGTATTTTACACCTTTCTATGACAGTGAAATGTGTTAAAAATAATCCTGTAAAATTGCCTGCAGTTGGAATTTAGCACTGCAAAATTAATGAAATTCTCCCTCTTATCTGCATTTCCAGATGGGCCTTGGTACCAATGGAAGTCCGTTTGGGGCTCAGCCTTATGGTCAGGGTCCTACAGGGCAGGGACAGCAACTAAACACTCAGCAGCAGCTCCAAAACAAGGCCGCCCTCGCTAACAGTCTGCCACCATTCCCTAATGAACTCAAAGGGGCTGCTGTTACAAGCGTGCCAAACATGGTCAGTCCTTTTTATGTAAATTTACGTTAGCATTATTGCTTTTTTTTTTTTACATTGAATTTTTTTTGTGTAGGAATTTCCCTATGGCCTAGGAGTTTATGTACATTTCTTGTCTCTGTTAAATGAATAAATTGTTCTTTGTGAATTTTTTTCTAAAACATGTTGCTTTTATCACTGACTAACCAGAATGTTTTTTTAAACTCTAACCCAAACTTGTGTTTTATTTACTGAGTTGTAAAACAAAACATGGAATGATATCACTTAAACTCACTACAAATGTGACGTGTGTGTGTGTGTGTGTCTTTTAATTTGTCGCCCACACAGCAGCTCCAGCAGCAGCCACAGCAGCAGGCAGCGATGCTCCCACTGGCTGGCAGTGGAGGTGTGGCCGTGCCTTCGGCGGGGCCAACAGCCGACCCTGAGAAGCGCAAACTGATCCAGCAGCAGCTGGTCCTGCTGCTTCACGCACACAAGTGCCAGCGACGAGAGCAAGCTAACGGGGAAGTCAGGGCGTGTGCCCTGCCTCACTGCCGCACCATGAAGAACGTCCTCAACCACATGACCCACTGTCAGGCTGGCAAATCCTGCCAGGGTGAGTTCGAACAATTTCTAACTTCAAGAGAATATAATTAAGAAAATAATTTAGAGCAGTTTTGAAGGGTTGGACGCGTTTTTGACCCTGAAATTTCTTTTGTGTGAATGCTGTATAACTGAGACCTATAACATCAAGTCTGCAATAACTTTCATCTTTTAACTGTTTTAGAAACCTTATTGCTTGCTTGATGTTTTTATTTTTACTGTTTTTATTCATGATTTAATGAAATTGATTCTGGCTATATATTTTTTAATAAATTACCATAAAAGACAAAAATTTTTCCTCATCTTTGAGTATTTTGGCCTGAGAGAAGAATTCCCTGCATATCATACGATCACTCACACCTCGGTAAATATGAGTCTGATTAAAAAGGGTGAATAAATGTTGGTCGATAAAAGGACCTGGTGCCCCAGCAGGTAAAAGTGTAGTGCAGTACAGAAAAAGTTATCACCCTTTCCGTTTACTCCTAAGAACAGCTGGATCAAAAAAAAACTTCTCTTGTCTTACAGTGGGGAGAACAAGTATTTGTTGATTTTTCAGGTTTTCTCACTTGCAAAGCTTGTAGATGACTGTAATTTTTAACATAAGTACTCTTCAACTGTGAGTGATGGAATCTAAAACAAAAATCCAGAAAAATACAATGTATGATTTTTAAATAATTAATTTCCATTTTATTGTGTGAAATAAGTATTTGATCATCTATCAACCAGTAAGAATTTTGGCTCTCACAGACATGTTAGTTCTTCTTTAAGAAGCCTTCCTGTTCTCCACTCATTACCTGTATTAACTGCACCTGTTTGAACTCGTTACCTGTATAAAAGACACCTGTCGACACTC